AAAGAAAGGAAGGAAGAAAGGAAGAAAGAAAGAAAGAAAGAAAGAAAGAAAGAAAGAAAGAAAGAAAGAAGAAAGAAAGAAGAAAGAAGAAAGAAAGAAAGAAAGAAAGAAAGAAAGAAAGAAAGAAAGAAAGAAAGAAAGAAAGAAAGAAAGAAAGAAAGTAAAAAACAGGATCCAGGACAGTCAGTGTCACACCTTACCTTTTCACTGAAATGAGAGTCTGTGAACTGAGAGGGTCCAAGCTCTTCTGCCTGACAGTGTTCCTGTTTTCTGTTGACATTCTCTGTACCTAAGTGGAAACACTGCCATCAGAAGTGTTTGTGGGATGACACACTAATAATTACTTTAATTATTAATAATAGAAATCTTCAACTCTTGTTATTTCACACACCTGATTTTTTTTCTACATTTTTCCTTTAAATGCAACATTTAGTTTTTCCTTCTACTTTAAAATTCATCTTATGTGTACATATGATCCTAATCATATTTTTTAAAACACACGTGTATACATATATATAATATATATAGTGTGTGTATGTATACATATATATATATATATATATATATGTATAAAACGAAAACCTAAAAGAAAATTCTCCCTTTGTTAATTATGGCCATGAGGAGACCACCTTCTTGAATCCAGGATACCACATTATCCTGGTTTTCCTCAAAATTCACTGTACCCTTTGCTAATTCTCTTTCTCTTCCCATTCTCTAGATGTTGGCATGACTCAGGCCTAAGGCCTTGTACCTCTTAGCAAACATACACCCAGCCAAGGGTTGACCTCGACAATCCCACAGCTTTAGATACTACCTCTAGATGCATCACTTGCAAATTCTATCTTTGGCCTTGACTTTCCTTTGTTTTTGGAAATCTCTACTTCATTTTCCAAGTAAACATCTCAATGACTGAAATTCAACTCTTGATAACAATCCCCCCTCCCAAAAGTACTCTTCCTCCAGTGTTCCACATCTTAGAAAATGACACCTAATCTGTCAGCACATCCTGAATGGCCACCAGTTCTCAATCACCAGCCCTGTTAACACCCTAGCCAAAACCAGCAACGATTACGAGCTCCTGCTCTCCACACCGCTGCCAGAGTGATCACCTAAGAGAAGGCAGTCACACTCCGTCAGTCACCTGCTCAAAACCCTCCTTCTCACCCAGAATAAAATCCAGACACCTTGCCTTGACCTATAGGCTGCTTAATATAAACTGGCCCCCAGCTACCCATCTGACCACATCTCCTTTTACTCTCCCCCTTGCTCACTCTGCTCCGGCCCTAGGGCCACCTTGCTATCTTCAAAATGCCCAGCGTGCTACCCTCTCAGAAAAGTTTTCCTAGTCCTTCCCTTGCCCTAGAATGTTTTTCCCCCTTATCTGCGCATTCCCTTACCTCAATCAGGTCTCTGCTCAAATGTCACTAAAGAGAATATTTCCCTAACCACTCTATCTAATAAAATAGCCCTCTCCATCACATTCTTTCCCTTTATTGTTTTATGTTTTTTCATAGCACTCACATTATATGTTAATATACACAAATAATTATCTAAACATAAATAAATATAAATATATAAATAATTTATAAATATGCAAATTAATAAAACTTCCAATGCAATATATATTCATTTATTTGCTTTTTTATTATCTGTCCACCTGCACAGATGTGTGCTTCAGGAAAGAAAACATTTTGCCTATTTCACTCACTGCTGTATCCGGAAGGCCTAGAATGGGGCCTGGCAAATAATACGCACTCATAAATATTTGTGAACAAATGAATGAACGAGCCTTCTCTTTCTCTCTCTGAGTTACCAATTCAACGTTTGAAATATTAACTTCCAAAAACACCTCAATCCCCTGAGAGAAATAATAAGGAGCCCTTCCTGCCATCCCTACCTGAACATCCCCATTGGGAAGGATTTGACTGAATTAATGGTGACAGATGAAGGCACTCTGATAATCCATAGTCTCTTAGGTCTCTCTCTAAATCCTATCTTCCCTCAAGCAAAGCAAGGTCTTTTCTTCTGCTCCCAATACCATGTGGTATTTTACCTCCAAGATGCTGGCATGGAGACTCATCTTTCTCTGGCAATTTATTTTGCCAGTCACTGAACTGTAGAGAAGGCTGCCCCCCTCCATGAGCCTGAAGGGATGAATCTGTTCTGCAGACCCCACGTCCTCACCTATGTCAGGGGTGGAGGTGAGGAACAGAATGGCTCCATCTGAGCTCAGATCCAAGCCACATTTCTGCAGTCCAACTTTACCAGTGATAAAGCCAATGCTATATTAAAATATCCTTTTGTTGGTTTGAACAGAAAGCAGCAAATGGTATGATTATATTGCTGAAGCCACTTGAAAATTCCCAAAGCAAGTCATCTTGTTTGTGAGATTATGGATTATTTTTGTGGGGATTTTTTTCTGTATTTTATAAGTTTTCTTTTTTTTTTTTTAAGATTTTATTTATTGGGGTGCCTGGGTGGCTCAGTCGTTAAGCATCTGCCTTCGGCTCAGGTCATGATCCCAGAGGGAACACAAGCAGGGGGGAGCGGGAGAGGGAGAAGCAGGCTTCCCGAGAGCAGGGAGCCAGACGCGGGACTCGATCCCAGCACCCTGGGATCATGACCTGGGCAGAAGGCAGATGCTTAATGACTGACCCACCCAGGCGCCCCACAGGTTTTCTACAATAAAATGTATCACATTTTTTCCCAAGATCTAGACAGATTCCAAATATAAAAGGAAAGAAGTCTTCAAGAATTTGGCAGTTACTACCAACTTTATCATGAACCATTTTCACATATATTCTTGTTAATGCAATATTGTACCACTTTTATATTCAGAATAGAGTAATATTTTCAAAAAGCTACTTTAAACTTTACCAATCCCATGAATCATTTTAATGAAATTCAGTTTTTAATTTCATTGCAGAAGTATTTCTAAGATTACAAAATTTGATTTGGAAATACCTTTTTTTCCTTTGAAGGTCACATTTTCAACTCCCCTGGTTCTTGTTGGATATATCACATTTTCAACAACTCTGCTTTCATTCTTAATATCCTGGAAGTGAGTCTTCACTACTGTGGTCAGTAATTTATCATTAAAAAGGCCAACCGAATGACCAGCAACTGCAGCTGTTCTTTCAGAAGTTTTGGATTCCTTGCCTTTCAAACCTGATGCCTGTAAGAGAAACAGGATGCTTTTTAAATATAAAAATAAGATTCAACTTAATACAGGCACCATCACACACCAGTGGGGGAGAGGCTATTTTATTCAATAAAAGTGCTAGTACAGTTGATTAGATACTTGAAAAAAAAATTAAGGATAGATCCTTGCCTCACATTATATACCACATGAATTTGAGGGTTAAATGTAAAAAGTGAACTCTTAATTTTTTTATAAATGGAAAGCACTGGCTAATATTTGTCTGATTTTAGAAAGGCCTAAAAGTAATGGCAGTCACAAAGGAAGAGATCAGAGATATAAAATTTTAAAAATTTAAATTTAAAAACAAATCAAGCTAACCACAAAATATGGGAGTTTGGAGATGGGTGTATGTTTTGTTGATTGTAGAGTCCCAAAGTACATAAGCCAATAAGAAACATATCCCCTACTTTTTTTGGTCAGAATTAGAAAAAAGACACCATAAGAAATATAAAACCCTGGCAATAATACTGGGGCTGCAATGGAGTAAATCCTACCCTCCTGCACCTATTTGAGATGGAATTCAGCTACTGAGACCATATGCTATTGCAGACCCTGCCACCATACTGAGCACAAAGTACTAACTACAAGTAGATCCTTCCCTGAGCTCACTCTCTTGAACTTCTTCTATTATCCAGGTAAGGGGCTTCTATTTCAATGTTTTGATTTGTTCCCCAGCCCATTTAGGGAAGTGGACTCATAAGCTGCTCCCAGTGCTTACATAGGTAGTCCAACCTGATTATACCAAAGCTCAGACTTAATCTATCCTAAATTACCCTCAGGGAGGACAGGATATCTCATAAGCCTGAGTAAGGGTTAACAGATCACAAAGATGTTTTGGGCTCTCAGCTCAGAGGACTCTGTACTCAGAATAGGACTTCACTGGGGCCAAGCAAGCTACTTTTGACCTCCCAGGTCAAGAAAACAGTCTAGGTACACAACAGCCTGTTCATCCCAACGGCACCTTAAAATGAAAGTATAAGAATAAAAAAGGTTGAGGTCAAATTTTAATTAATGGTCAACTTTAATTAAAAATGCAAAAGAAGAGTTCACAACAGGAGATGAAAATGGCTCATGCTGAGACATACAAAACAAACGGAGAAAAAAAGAAAAAATTATATTAAAAAATAATAATAAAACAAAGGGAGTTTCTCCTGAAAACGAAACTCATTATAATCTATTGAGTATTTGTTACAGAAGATACTTTTAATGGAGGAAAACAGTTTCTTTTTTTTTTTTAAGATTTTTTTAATTTATTTATTTGAGAGAGTGAGAGAGAGAAAGAGCACAAGAGGGGGGAGCAGGAGAGGGAGAAGCAGACTCCCTGCTGAGCAGGGAGCCCGATGCGGGACTCGATCCCGGGACTCCAGGATCATGACCCGAGCCGAAGGCAGTCGCTTAACCAACTGAGCCACCCAGGCGCCCTAGGAAAACAGTTTCTTAAAATATTCACAACTAGACTGTGTAGGAAACAGTAAAAATATATGCGTTCCTCCATCCTAGTCCCAAATGGTATGATGTAATAATCCCAAAATAGTTCCTCCTAGCAGAGGAAAAGAAATGACAAGAGATTTTTCAGATTTTTCAGGAATTCTACTTCACAGACTTGTCTCTATACAACACTGGCTATAATAGCCCACACCAATCCCAATGGTTACGTGGCTAGTCACTGAGCTTCCTTGTTGCCTTTCGCCAACCTCAGAAAAACTTCCAATCAATTTAAATTCGGAAAATGTTACTGCACCTCTGCCCTCATCAATTCTAATGCCATATTTCTTTATTCAAGTGTCTGCATTTAATTTATCTTTGAAATCAAAGGAATTCTCCCTGATGACTACTAATCTCTTCTATCCAGCATTAAGAAAAAGAGATGTCTCAGAAATAACCCCCTCAAGAGTTACTACAGAGATACAGGATTTTGAAACAAGAGCAGCATTTTGGCCAAGAGTTATTATAATAGGTGAAAGCATTTTCCCAGTATCAATAATATATTTTAAGACACTTTCGACCATAGTGTCAGAAAGCAAAAAGCTATAAAGAAAAACTGTGAGTTTGTAAGTAAGGCACTAGAGAGAAATAATTAGATTCATTCCCTGTGTTCGTGTATATTTCTTTTTAAAAAATTTAGTTGTTATTTTCATTGACGTTGCCTTTACTGCTGCCAATAAACAAAATCGTACTGGAACCTCACGACTGCTTTGGCATTTCCGGGACCCTAGCACTTAAAGACACTGCTTTCAAGCGCTTGATGGAAAGAACACGGAAGGCTAAATCTTGAACTTGCTAACCAGCACAGATGGTGAAAACACAGAGCCCTTTGTGCCTGGAGAAAGAACTAAGGTCACAAGAGAATTCCCACTAATGCAGACAAGACATGAGGATGCCTTCACAACTCGAATCCTTGGCTCGAATCCTTCTTGCTGGCGCTTTTCAAAAGGAAACAGTGGCCTCGGTTTCTGGGTAATTCTCTCCGCTCTTGTTCCCCAAGAAGTGGGAGGCGACAGTTAAGCCCAAACAGCCTGTGAAGGGACTCCTCGACGAGAAAGCTTTGTCCCCGACCATGAGATGCCGGGTGCGGGAGGTGGCAAGGCGTTCCCTGGAGTTGAGCCTCTCTCACACGGCCTGCTAGGAATTGCAGGCGCGGCGCAGCACCGCCCCAGGAGCAGGTGCCAGAGAAGTGAGGCCCAGGTCTGCCGGCGGGTCTTTCTCCGCGGCAGGTGGCTCTCCGCCAGCGCCGGGCTCCTCCGCGCGCCGCCCGGGACAGCGGCGCACCCCCGCCCGCCCCGCTCCGCGCCCTTCTGGGGGACCGTGGTAACCCGGCGGGAACGACCCTGCCCCGCAAAATCCAAAACGAAAGCAACTTGCCATGGCGGAGGAGAGACGCGCCTTCGGCTGCCGGCAGGGCCCAAATCTAGCACGGCGCGGGCCACGAGGCGGGGCCCGGCAGGCAGGTTTTGCTTTCAGTTTTTGGCGGCCGCCAGCTTGGAGACAATGCGAGGAAAGGACGGCCCCTCCACCCCATCCTGCTGCTCTGCGCCTCTTGGCCTCGGGGCGGAAGCTCCGACCTGGGCCGGCTGCTGCCTCGGTAGTTTCACAACTTCTGCGACCGCGCTGGAGGGGGGCCAGCAGGAATCCCCGGCAGTAATCCCGGGACTCTCCGGGGGCTGTGTCTGTCCCGTGCTCAGTTCTTTCTGCGCCCTCAGCTCCCCAGTCGTGGGACTTCTCACCACAGCACACCTGTTTCTCCTCTTCCTCACCTGCCTGCCCAGGGCCAGTCGCGCGGTGGCCAGGTGCACCGGGCACGGGTTGAAAAGCGCAGGGTCCCTGTCAACAGAGAGCTCACCATCTTGTCCACGGTGTTCAGACTCCAGAGTCCGGCACCCAGGGGGACACAGGTCATCTACCTACATGGCTTCGAAGTCAAAGAGAGCATGAAGAAGAAAGGCAAATGGCTGGCAAACATGAAGAAGCTTGGCTCCACTCCTAAGTAAAGAAATACAAATTGAAGTCATAATGAGATCCCTTTTTGCCACGATTAGGTTGGTAAAAATTAAAAAGTGTAGTAATAGCCAGTGTTAGCCAGAGTGTGAGGAAGCATCTGTGTTGCTGCAAGCCTAGATAGGTGCAAACACTTCTAAGGATTGTGACCACTTTCAAAAATGCAAACTGAAAAAGAAGTGTGAAAATGCATACACTTGGCAGTTCCACTTTCAGAACTCAAGTATAACTTAGAGTGCACAAGTGGAACGAAGATACGGTACACTAATTCCAACTGTGCATTGCTTTAATATGTGTAATTTATTTAAGTTTTTTCACTCAGTCCATGAATAGAGCCACTTATTATATGGCTGATGGCACATCTATAAGGCCTAAGACTGACGATTTTAAATCGGGATGAGGTAAATCTACATGTAATTCCCCAACTCAGACTTTTCTTCAGATTCCTATATCTAAATGCCTGCTTGTATGTGTAATAAGTGTGTGAAATTTAACAAGACCAAGCAAAACTCTCCTTCCACCCTTTCTTCCCTCTCAGTAAATAATAACACTACCCACCCAGGAGCCCAAGCTCGTGACTCGCGTGTCTTCTGTGATTCCTCTTTTCCTTAGCTCTGTTAGTACATCCCATAAACACACACTCTCTCCAACCCCACCTTCGCCAGCCAGATCGTCCACACCCAGCCTTGTTCCCCTTCAATTCATTCTGGATACCACATACTGAACAATTCTTATTTAATGTAGATCAGATTTGTTCCCTGTTTAAACACTTTGTTGTTTTTAGGGGCTCCTGGGTGGCTCAGTCGTTAAGCGTCTGCCTTCGGCTCAGGTCATGATCCCAGGGTCCTGGGATTGAGCCCGGCATCGGGCTCCCTGCTCCTCAGGAAGCCTGCTTCTCCCTCTCCCACTCCCCCTGCTTGTGTTCCCTCTCTTGCTCGCTGTGTCTCTCTCTGTCAAATAAATAAATAAAATCTTTAAAAAAAAAATAAACACTGTTGTTTTTAATACTGTACATTTGTTTTTGAGTTTTTTTATTTATTTTTTACTTTAAGTTCCATTGCACTTTAAATAAAATTCACATTTCTCACCAGGAAACCAAAATGGCCTTGATCTGCTTTCTCTAGCTAGACCCCCATAAACTTTCCTCACTCTCTCTTTTCTGACCACATAACAAGCCATCTAACTCGTGTCTTTTCTTCCCTCGGTTGTTGTTTTGGGGGGGGGGGTTGTTTGTTTTAATTTATTTGACAGAGAGAGCGCGCACAAGCAAGGGGGAGCGGCAGGCAGAGGGAGAAGCAGACTCCCGCTGAGCAAGGGGTCCAATGCGGGACTCGATCCCATAACCCGAGCCAAAGACAGACGCTTAACCCACTGAGCCACCCAGGCGCCCCTTACCCTTGGTTCTTTGTCCAGGTCTGGATAGCTCCTCCCTGATCTTCACTTAATGACTCCTTGCTGGGACTGGAGTCTTAGCTCAAATGACCCCTCTTCAGAGAGACTGCTTCTGATTACCCCGTCTGAATTTGTCCCCCCAAGTTGTTACCCTATCACCCTGTTATTCTGTCTTAATAGTATCACCCCTTTCTAAAAATATCTTCATATATTTATTTTTTTCTCACTTGTCTCCCCCCACATGGTAGACATTAGTACTGCTCACCAATGTCGCTTGATCTTCTCAATTCAGGCACTGGACGGATTGCCCTTCCTCAGCCTTTGATTTAGGCAAGGCCATATCATTCATTCAGCCAATGAAAGTGAAGAGAACTGACATGTCTCGTATTTGGTGAAGGTACTTCATTGGCAGCACAAGAGTCTCCAATGCTCTCCTCTTGGCCTTGGTGCTCATGGAAGAATGCATTTAAGGAAATGTGCACCACTGAGCTAATACGCAGAACACATTTGCACTAGAGAGTTGCCTGGACCCATAACAAAATATGTGGGAATGAAAAATAAAGCTCTGATGTTTTAAGCCACTGAATTTTCTTCAGCAATATCACCTAGCATACTAGAATAAAAGAACACCATGAAAATATTTGCAAATTACACATCTAATAAAAGATTTGTATCTACATTATACAAAGAACTATTAACAACACAAAAATAAGAAGACAATCCAACTTAAAAATGGACAAAAAATCGAATAAACATTTTTCAAAGAAGACACATGAACGGATAATTTGCTCATGAAAATATACTCAGCATCATTAGTCATTAAAGAGATGCAAATTAAAACCACAATGACATACCACTCCACAAATGGCTATAATCAAAAAGATAATAACATGTTGTCAAGAATGTGGAGAAAGAAGAACTCTCATACATTGCTGATGGGAAAGTAAAAGTTACAGCCATCTTTTAAAACAGTTTAGCAGTTTCTCAAAAAGTTAAGCATAAATTTACCACATGACCAGGAAATTTCACTCCTAGATAACTACCCAAGAGAAATGAAAACATATGTCCAAACTAAGACTGCCAGTGTTCATAACAACATTATATATAATAGCCAAGAAGCAGAAATAACCCAAATGACCATCAATTGCTCGAAGTATAAACAAAATGCAGTATATACACACAATGTAATACTACTCAGTAATAAAAAGGAATGAAATACTAATACATGATACAAAGATGAAGCTCAAAAACATCGAGCAAAGCAAAAAAACCAGACACAAAAGGTCACATGTTGTATACTTCTGTTTAACCAGAAAAGACAAACATATGAAAAGAGAAAGCAGAAAAGAGGTGCCTTGGGCTGGAGGTGGGAACAAAGATTAACTGTAAATGGACATGAGCACCATGATCCAAGCTGGGACCCTCTCCAGGGAATAACAAGAGATCTAGGATTAGAGTCAGGAAGGCAGGTCTACCCATATGTGCCATGGAACCTGACTTGTATGCCCCAACTATTCCAGCTTGTACATGCTGACAGGGCGCAGGACAATGCTACCCCCAAAATATGGCCATTTGGCATACTGTATATTTCAAACTGGGGGAATAAGAGAAAGGACATGTGCAAGAAGGACTTTCTGACATTCCCCTGAAGCAGGTTATAAAACCGTCCTGTGTTTTATGTAACCCTCATTCCTCTCTGTATCCAGAAGAAAGGAATAGCCTTATCTCCAAAGACAAAAGGACACAAAAAGGAATCTGAATGAAAAGGTCTTGCTGTTTCCCTTTGTTTATTACACTTAGCTAACACTCTTTGTCCTATCATCTCCAACTTTTTATGACTTTATACTTTTCATCAACTTTAGCACAGAAACCCTCAGGTTTAAGTATTTCTTTGGGTCTTCATCTCCTTATGCAGGCTCCCATATCACATAAAATTTATAGTAAATAAATTTCTGTGCTTTTCTCCTGTTAATTTGGTTGTATCAGTTTAATATTCAGGCCCAGCCAGGGACCCTAGGAGGGTTAAGGAAAACTTTTGTCTTCCCCTAATGTGCCAAACAATCCTTGAGGAAGCATGACTCCAAATGTGGTCAAAATAATTCTGGCAGCTTATTACTGAAACTGCATCCAAAAAAATATTTTAATCTCTTACAGCCCCAGTTATGAGGCCTCCCATCTCACTGTACTTTGCTCTGAATCATCGCTTAAGTAAAATCAAATTGACATTTTCCTGGGTGTTTTTGTGATACCAAAAAAACAAAAATAAAACCCATTACTGGATATTTCACCTGTATCTTGTTAATTATTTAATTTCATAAGATGTGGCATATATTGTGAAGATTTCTAAAAATAGCATAAGAAGAAAATCATTTTTAAAGGAATAGTACTCAATGCTGAAAGGGAACGATGAAATAGTCCTTATTGTACTTATAATAAAAGTACTGAGGGGTGCCTGGGTGGCTCAGTCGTTAAGCCTCTGCCTTCGGCTCAGGCCATGATCCTAGGGTCCTGGGATCCAGCCCCACATCGGGCTCCGTGCTCGGCGGGAAGCCTGCTTCTCCCTCTCCCGCTCCCCCTGCTTATGTTCCCTCTCTCGCTGTCTCTCTCTCTCTGTCAAGTGAATAAATAAAATCTTTAAAAAAAAAAAGTACACACTGATGCCTACCTTTCTGGAAAGCAACTGTAGCCATACGTACCAAGATCCTTAAAAAGAATTTGTATCCTTCACCCTATCAACCTAGTGATTATCACCTTGAAATAAGATTAAACTTGCAGAAAAAGATTTGTATTCCAGGATATAAAACGGTTTATATACATCATAGCACTTATAAATGTGAAAAATTGGAAACAATCTTAATGTCCTACAATAGAGAAATAATAACCCTAGAAATAGTTTATATTCACAAAATGAAATGTGATACATGATTGGGAGAAAAAATTGGAAAGGAGGACTTAAAAATGTTACCACTATCTGGGTGTGTATTTTTTTTAAAGATTTTATTTATTTATTTGACAGAGAGAGCACAAGTAGGCAGAGCGGTAGATAGAGGGAGAGGGAGAAGCAGGCTCCCCGCTGAGCAGAGAGCCCGATTTGGGACTCGATCCCAGGACTCTGGGATCATGATCTGAGCTGAAGGCAGACGCTTGACTGACTGAGCCACCCAGGTGCCCCTGGGTGTGGATTTTTGATGACTATTATCTTCATTATAGTTTGTGTATCTTTCGAGAATGAGCATCTTTTTTTTCAATACCAACCAGATATCATTAATGCTATTCATTGTACAGTTTTGGCTTCCTGCCTTCCAAGCATGTGGTAGGATTGAACATCCAAGCTCCTTTATCGTTGGGTGGGGCCACATACTTAGTTCTGGTTGAGTTGTGAATGAAAAGGACATTTCTGGACCAAGAATTTAATTGCTATTTCAAGACCCTTCAAAGCTCTTTTCCTTTGGCATGATATCCAGCAATAAAGTTGATGGCTGCTGGGGCACTTGGGTGGTGCAGTCAGTTAAGCCTCTGACTCTAGATTTCCACTCAGTTGGATCTCACGGTCTTGAGATGGAGTCCTGCATCAGGCTCTTGCTGAGCAGGGAGTCTACTTGGGATTCTCTCTCCCTCTGCCCCTCCCACTCGTGCGGTCTCTCTCTGAAATAAATAAATCTTTAAAAAAAAAAAAAAGTGGGACGCCTGGGTGGCTCAGTCGTTAAGCGTCTGCCTTCGGCTCAGGTCATGATCCCAAGGTCCTGGGATCGAGCTCCATGTCGGGCTCCCTGCTCTGCGGGAAGCCTGCTTCTCCCTCTCCCACTCCCCCTGCTTGTGTTTCCTCTCTCGCTGTGTCTCTCTCTGTCAAATAAATAAATAAAATCTTTAAAAAAAAAAAAAGTTTGTGGTTGCTGTTAGTCTGGGTCCCTCTAAGTGTCTACCCTGAGCATTCTTTTTGTTGACCCATCATGGACATGTAGCATGACCAAGGAGTAAAATTTTGTTGTTTTGGTCTCCGAAATTTAGAGATAATTTGCCATACCAGCATCATATAATCTATCTTGATTGATACAGAACTGGTATTCTGGAGCATTGCTACAGTCAAAAGAAAAAAAAAAAAAAAAGACAATCCCCAACACAATCTAAAATACATGGCTTTGGTTTAGGGGCAGGTAATTAGAAAATAATTATCAGAGATTAGAAGGATGGTGATCCATATTATGTAGCGGAAAAACATTTGGTAAAACTGTCACATGTGATAGCTTGGAAGGCAGATAATGTACCTAATTAGCTTGTAGTTTTTTTTAAAAAGGGTGTGAAAAACAAAATTAGTAGCATGTGTCTGTTACTATTGAGTGCATTTGACAAAGTAATATAAAAAAGGAATGAGCTTAGAAAAGAATCGGCCAGTTGGAAAGCCAAAATGAAAGGGAATAGAGAAATACAGAAATATGGGAATTTATAGGATGGAAGAAACAATACTCATTCTCAAATGACAAAACCTTTGAGTAACAAAGGATGATTAGAACTCTGCTTTATTGCAAGGATCAAATCAATAATCAAATCAAGCTTTGGATCGCTGAACAGATTAAGGTCCCTCAGAACAACAACAACAAAAAAACAATAATTCAAAACAGAATTCAATAAACCCTTTCAGTTAGACAAACTGGCTCAGAGAAAAGAAACTAAAAGTGGTCTGATAGACTAAAGTACCTACAATTAAGTAAAGAGAGGGAGAGAAGAATAGGACCAAGAAAGCAGAGAATTATAGCAACTCTAAAAAGTGAGTCTAGAAAAAACTGTCAATCTGGCTATTAGCACATGTAAACTGACCAAAATAAAATAGATTAGAAGCCTATTAAGTTTTTGAAGTGTAACAGCTAACTAGCTACCAGCCAGAGTAAAGAGACTGTGATGGCTCAAAACTTTAAAAATTTTGGTACCAAACATTGATCATAGATAGTGTGCTGAATGAATAAGGTTTTCAGCCTCCAAGAAGATATATTCTAGATATGGAAAAGGAGAATAATGGAAAAAGAAGAATGCCCAGGAGCTACACAGACAATGAGCAAGAGAAGAATTTCCAGAGTGGAATCATGGCTTACCCAAAATTCCACACTCAAGGTGTATGAAGCATATATCTACTCAGCGAGATTTCAGAATGGCTTTGGCCCAGAATACACGTCCCCCATTCATCCCCTTTTCCAAATTCAAGTTTATTGCAGTTCGCTTGTTCCAGTTCCACTACTATCTACCATGGGGTGGGGGTCTCTGGATAAAGGGGAGTAACATTCAGACTTGATATAGAAACTACCACGTACCACCTAGAGTTCACGCACTTTGAGTTTGATACCACGACTTAATGGAACTTTTGGTTTTTCCACACTAGGGTATGGGTGATGTGTGTTTTGCGTATGAAGAAGAGTGATCCAAATATTGATGATCAGTAGGACAGGAAAGACTACATTCATTAATATTCTGGCTCAACTGTATCTGGTTCTCCTCATTTTTACAAGACCGAATTTTCCAGTCCCTTTTTGTTTAAATGAGGTCAGATGACTATTTCTGGCCAATGAGATGTGAGACAAAAGACATCGTCACTTCTAAATGACAGCATTTAATTCCTGGTGCAAGACTCTGCAGACTTCATTTTTCCGCACCTCCATGTTTCTGGAAGTGTGTCTCAAGATGGGGCCTTAAGTGATTAGGACAAAAAGACTCCCCTCCCAACCTGTGTTGGACATTCAACATGAATGAGAATTAAACTTTTGTTTTGTTAGGCCCCTGAGATTCAGGAGGTTGTCATTACAGCACAGCCTAGGCTATCTTGACTGATAAGTCCACAAAGGGCAAGAGGGACTTGTGATTCTACATATTCATCTTTCCTGACTTATAGGCTGACAGTGTCTAGGCTTTCGAACTTAATATGCAGTAGTCAACACAGTATCTTCTGGTAAATTTTCAAAGGCAACTTTGCTCCTACAAAATCTCTAAAACTCTAGAAATAAGCAGGGTAGCCAGTGCTTGATTTCTGAGACCTCGCCAGATCACACAAGGGCGGAATGGTGAAAGGAGCCTGAGGGAAAAGTCTCATTTTCTACAATAAGTAGTATTTATTAAAAAAACCATTGTGTATATTTAGAATTGAATGAGATTATCTATTTTACGGCCTGAAGAAGGCCCCCAGAGGAAACAAAAGTGACTATTTCAAACCTTGTCCCAAATGTTAGGAAAAAATTCTTCCTGATTGGCAGTCTGCCACCGACTAAAAATGACACCTTCCGTGTCGGTGAAACCGTACCAATCAAAATTAAATAGGTTCTTTAAATTTTTCTTAATCTTTTGAGGGGCTTGAAATAATCTTGCCGTTCCCAAAGAACAACTGACATATGATTTTTTTCCCTAAAACAGTGAAAATGAAGAGTTATTATACATTGCCCAGTTTTTAGGCACCATCTCTCATTCTAAAGAGAAATGTGAATGCAACAAGTACTTCTAACGGTAGCATAACAACTTTAAAATCTAAAAATAAATAATCAGAAGCGAACCAAGTTGTTTTTTGTTTTTTTTTTTTAACTTTCCCTTTATTTTAGATGGCAGGCAGCACTGGGTAGGTTTAGGTTTAGATTTTCTAAAGCATTTCATTTCTGCTAGCATTTTAATATGAATTTACTTCTGCTGTTGACTCTTTATGGAACACACCGTATAGGATAAACGTTGTTCCAACGTTTGTTTTTTTTTTAAAGATTTTATTTATTTATTTGACAGAGAGAGAGAGACAGTGAGAGAGGGAACACAAGCAGGGGGAGTGGGAGAGGGAGAAGCAGGCCTCCCACAGAGCAGGGAGCCCGATGTGGGACTCCATCCCAGGACCCTGGGATCATGACCTGAGCTGAAGGCAGACGCTAACGACTGAGCCTCCCAGGCGCCCCTGTTCCAACGTTCTTTACCAAAGAGAATTTTACCTCCTCTGAACAGGAACCTCACCTCTCACTGTTTAGTTTCTACAACTTAAAACCAGTGGGATGCTAATGGACTGGGCGTCTCTCAAACTAAAACGTAAGCCCCTACAGGGCAGCTCCTCCGCTTTCAGCCTCAGGGGTTCCTCAGCATCTAGCCTGACGAGTGATGAGCCACTAGCTTTGCATTTACTTCTCCCTTTATTCCAAGGATGTCATTCTGTTAAACATTCTTTCCATCTTAAGTGTAAAAGAAAGAAAATTATGGTCTTTACAAGTTCTATTTGGAGAAGATGTTTTGGAAAGAATCGGGACACTTGGCACTCTGGGCGAAGAAAATTTTAAGTAAAAAGACCACACTCAGCTCTGAAAAATACCTATGGGGCTGTGGAGGAAAATGCTATAATGGGAAAGTGGGAAATGATTGCTCTTGAAGTCCCTTGAAAGTCAAAGTCTACAGAAATCACAAACAGCTGAATGTAACACTTCTTTTGGGAAATGTGAGGAGTCAAGTCTGCATATTGGTGGACTTGGGGCCAAAAGAGAATTGGCCCACATGCTCATAACCAAAGGAGCCAACACAGCAGGGGGACAATTGCATCACTTATGGTTGATTTCAATGGACATGGCACCAAGCCACATAATTTATGAACAAATAAAACTGTTTTTAATGCAGTGCACTTACTGCATTTATAAGCATGCAGCAGAGTTTGAAACAAAGAACAATTCAAAAACAAGGAAATATATTTTGTATCTAAGAATAGATGGCCACTAAAGAATTAAAGTCTTCATTCTTTAAAGGAAAAAGGATATTCATTTTTGTCAAACTGACAGTGATTTGGGCTCAGAGGCTCTAATATTCAGACCATTCCATTCCTCTCTTCTTCAAAGTACGTGATGTAAGGTTGACCTAGAGAACATTTGACCACTTCCACCTCTCCACCTCCGTTCGCCTTCCGTTGAAAGTGAATGTTAACTAAATCCTGTAAAAGTTCTTCATCCATCATCTGAAGATCTTCCATTCCAGTCAGAAGCACTGTCCTCTCCGATATTCCCGAAAATACCTAAAAGGGAAAATTAAAAAGATAAATAGAAAATTTTCTAAGAGCTTTGAATTGCAAAACTTTAGACTTATAAAGCTCTGCTTCATATCTTGGACCTTATCTTAGAAGACACCAGGAGCCTCAGCAAGATGTTTCACACAAGAGAATATCCGAGTCAGATCTGAATTTCAGAAAGATAACTCTGGTGGCATTATGATGAATAGCGGAAAGACGGGCATCTCTATGGACAGAAAGACCAGTGAGAGAGGTAGCCAGAGGGGCCAGTGACAAGACTGAGTGACCAGATGAATGTGGGAGGTGAAGCAAAATGAAGAATTCAGCATGAGTTGTAGCTTTCAGGATGGTGAACTACATAGATGGGGGTGCCACTTAATACCTAAGTAGGAATAGAAAAAAAGGAATAGGTCTGGGGTGAAGATAATGAGTTCAGAGAAAATGAGCGGGAAGAATTCTTTTTAATGCCCAAGAATAGTAGACACATAAGAGAAATGTAGCTATGTCTCCACAAATAAAAATATTATACCATTACCTGAGTAATTTCAGGTTTTACAAAGTATGTAAGAAATTAAATAAGGTACAGTTTTGCATTAAAGTATTTTTTTAAAAGACAAACTTATTTTGCACCAAGCAGATATGAAGAAACTATTTTTTGAGATTGCTCACTAATAAGATTCAACAGGAACAGACTCACAACTTTTTCTTTATTTTTTGTGGGGTGGGGTTGAGCTGTAAGTTCCCAAAATGAAGGAAAAGAGATGACTTTACCTGAAAATTTTTCAAGTGTGTTTCTGTGTATGGAGAAACAGTAACTCTATAGCAGTTTTGATTTATATAAAGCGGATAGTCTTTCTTTTTCAAAATCTTGTCAGCAACTAGAAGTAAATTTTTTTTAAATTATTTTCTTTTTTATAACATAGACATTTTCAACCAAAGTTAAAACTTTCTTCAAACAGAACATCACAGTAAACAGTGAACTGAGTGTTTTTAAAAATTCTACACTCCACTTCACAGTACATAATTTTGAAAAATACAAGACCCAACAATAATGGGGTTTAATAGATTTTTCTGTCTTGAACTATCCACTGCAATCAGTGCAGAGAGCTGTGATGTCCTCAGACAGATCTATCTTGAGCTACAGAAAATGCAAAATAACCATCTGCAAAAAGTAACCCGCCCCCCATCATCCTAACAAAACTGCGAGTTTCCCAGTTGCTCAAGAAGTATAACTGGAAATTATGATTAGAATACTATACCTATAGGGACACCTGGGTGGCTTAATCAGTTCAGTGTCTGCCTTCAGCTCAGGTCATGATCCCAGGGTCCTGGGATCGAGCCCCGCATCGGGCTCCCTGCTCCTTGCGAAGCCTGCTTCTCCCTCTCCCACTCCCCCTGCTTGTGTTCCCTCTCTCACTGTGTTTCTCTCTGTCAAATAAATAAAAGCTTTAATAAATAAATAAATAAGTAAGTAAGTAAGTAAGTCTTTAAAAGAAAAAGGGTGCCTGAGTGGCTCAGTTGTTCAGTGTCTGCCTTCGGCCCAGGTCATGATCCCAGGGTCCTGGGATCAAGCCCCGAGTCAAGACTCCCTGCTCATGGGAAGCCTGCTTCTCCCTCTCCTGCTCCCCCCTGCTTGTGCGCTCTCTTGCTCTCTCTCTCTCTGTCAAATAAATAAATAAAAATCTAAAAGAAAAGAAATGGCAGAACATAATTTAAATGGTAAAGTGTTTTTTAACTGCCTAAATGGGCAAATACCTCCAGTTTCCACAAATGTGATCACAGCACTCCGGGACTGCTTATCATACTGCACGCATCGCACTTCCCCGCCTCCGTTTATGGACTTAGAAAAGCTCAGTTCTAGCTTGTCCCTCATCTGATCTTCAGGCAATCCATCAGGAATGTCAGTAACATTGATCTTCACTGTAGAGTATTCTTCATGAACCTGGGAAATCATTTCATATTCAACAATAGGGGTGAGACAAGTGACACCTCACAGAATTCTAAAAAGCTATAATCAGCATGTTACCTGGAATCTGACTCCTGAATTTAATGGAACTGGCTTGGCCAAAACCTCCACATCTACATCCTTTATCTTCACATAATGCTTCCCCATCCTGATGATGTTTTGGGCAACTGAAAAATAATTTGGGAGTATTAATTGCCAATATTTTAATAAATGTTTTCACTTTGGGTTTAAGAACAAATTATCCTAAATATTTTAAATTTTCTTTAATGAAGGATCTAATTTTTAAAAATTTCCTAGGACTTCCAAGTGTTATTGGTCTTGCCACCAAAGTGGCAAATAAATATATTAATGTCAAAAATGTCAAAATACATCAGCAAAAATTACGAAGTAGCCAAAAGGTACAAACTTCCAGTTATAAGGTAAATAAGTACCAGGAATGTAATGTACAACATCCTGTGTGATATACAGGAAAATTGTTAAGAGGAGTAGGATCCTAAGCGTTCTCATTACAGCAAAAAAAAAAGTTTTTTCCTTTTTATTTTTTTTTCCTTTTGGTTGACTCTGTGGGAGTCCTGTTTATTGTACCCATATGAGAAAATGGATTTTGGCTCTACTTGCCGTGGTCCCTGTTTCACAATATACGTAATCAAACCGTCATGCCATACACCTTAAACTTAGTGACACACGTCAATTATTTCTCAGTAAAACTGGAAAAAAAAACTATAGTGTAGAAAGTCTCATCAAGTTCTAGATTCATCCCTTAAGAGAGAAGCCTGGTGATCCTTCAGAAATTCATATATTACTTCAGCACAGCCACACACCCTTTAGAATTCCCCTGTTAACAGAATGATGAGAGAATTCCCTTAGTATATTAGTTGAAGTACAGCCAGAAACTTCTCCCATGTTAAGTAGGAAAAAGTTGTACGGGTCAGTGGCATTCTGACAATCTTATTTATCATTTGTCACTTCTCTTTAATGTTATAAACACCAAAGAAATATTCATTTTCGTCTTTCCTAAGAATGACATATTAAATACCACATAGGTTTGAATATCAAAGTGTGAGTCTTTTTTATTTTTTTGCTGTATTTAATGAGGAATTCTACTTTTGCTAAAATGCTCTTGAGATCACTTTATTAAAAAGATGATAGCCTATGCCAATCACAAAACTACCAAATCTAATTTATTTGTGCAAATGGGAGAGGCTCAGTAATGTAATTATGCCAAAAATCATTAAAACTCCAGATAGCAATTATATTTCAGTTTAAAATGCATGTGGGTGGTGCATTTATTTTTAATTGTGTGACATGAGAGTTTATAACACTTCAGTTGTTAATACAGAGCCGCTTACTCTAATTTGTCATAAAGATAAGAGATGCCCACTCTGGTCTTATAAATCTCACATGTGGGGGCGCCTGGGTGGCTCAGGCGTTAAGCGTCTGCCTTCGGCTCAGGTCATGATCCCGGGGTCCAGGGATCGAGCCCCATGTTGTCAGGCTCTCTGCTCAGCAGGAAGCCTGCTTCTCCCTCTCCCACTCCCCCTGCTTGTGTTCCCTCTCTCGCTTGCTGTGTCTCTCTCTGTCAAATAAATAAATAAAATCTTTAAAAAAAATAAAAAAATAAATAAATCTCACATCTGTTTATGACAACCAGACAGCACACACATCACAGCTGAAGGAAGAGAGAAACAGGCTAAAAGGCAGGGCGTTGTCATGTGGGAATTCACACTCATTGTACCATGATATGACTCGATAACTTGAATATCAACTTTTTTTTTAATTAATGACAGCAAGCAACAATAACAGAAAATGTCAATTAAGTAATACTCTGCCCTTTCCCTCCCACACCCCCCCACCCAACCCTCCAACATCTGGTGATCTGATGCAGCTGAGAGGACCACTTGCGTTTCAACTTTTGTGACTCTATCAAAAGCCAACTTCTGTTTAATTGTATATAAGCCCAAAGTTGTCCCAGGAGAGCAAGACCTCAGAGCCATGCCCAGAATGGAAGCAGTGATGCAGCTGTTTCTGAAGACAACCCTGGTCCCAGCATTCCCGGGTAATTGCTGAGCAGAAGCCTCCCAAATCCTCGCTTCTGTCTTTTGGTTGTATCCCCATTACCATTGCCAACTGCCAACACACACAGGGCTCCTGGCCTCCTCCTCTACCCTCAGCTCAAGGGTAGATCCAGGGTGGACCCATGGTGAACCAACAGTATGTGCATATGCTGACCTGCTAGAATGCCTTTCTTTCTAATATTTATTTTTAGGCTATAGTGATAGACCAGGTGTAAGGAGATACAAGTTATAATCCTAGATTCTCAGAATCTGAGCACCAGAAGGGCTTAAGACCATCTGGTCCCACCCCAAAACTAGACATATATAAGACTGAAGGCCTGGAAGAGTGGTCTGCTCCAAGGACTGTTGGTCCAGTACAAGGCACATGGGTGCTCAGGGGTTTGGCTCTCGGTTTTGCAATTTTTAACTGTATGGACCTTGAGCAAGTTCTTTATCTTCTTTAAGTTTCAGTTTCCTTATCTGGAAAATTCCTAATGGGTAGCAATAATGACAGCTAACGTTTATTAAGTGTTGATTATGTGTCAGACACCATGCTAAGTATTGTACCAGCATTTCTCATTTAACACTCAACCCAAACCCAAGAGGTAGGGACTACCACAAAGCCTGTCATAAAAATCTGAGATTTAGAAAGAACCCAACCCAAATCCACACCTAGAAATGGGCTAAGCTGGCACTGAAGGCCAGCTTGTCCTAACGTGTCCCCAGCTCTGAACAGGGTCCTATACCATGTCAGACTTAGCAAACATCAGGTCCCATTCCCAAATCTCTGACTCTTGGGCTCTTTCCATTCACTGGGCATGTACCCTTAGGTAAATCACTTAAACACCCGAGAATCTGTTTTCTTAGTAATAAGACGTAAACCACAATTCTCCTATCATATTGCTTTCAGAGTCATGTGAGTATAAAATGAGATGTCTGAGAGAACTGTCTGAGAACTGTGTAGAGCTCTACTAGCTTAAGACATTATTACTAGTATCATTTGGAGGTAGCAGGTGGAGTAGAAAGAAGAAAGACGCTGGTATTAGCTATCACAACACCTGGGCTTGAGTCCCAGAGTCGTCATGTTCTGAACAAGTGATCTTATTCAAGGCACTTAATGTCTCAGTTTTCTCATCATAAAATGGGGATAATCCTGTCTGACCCAGGGTGTCACTATGAGATGAGATGAGATGATAGATATAAAAATTGTAAAGCAATAGCCAAATATCTAAGAAAGCTCTTTGAAAGTCTCAGTGCTTTCCAAAAGTAACATGGTCAAATTTTTGAACATTATTCATACCTTCTTCTTTTTCAAAGGTGATAAGAGCTTGTCCTTTCTGTAGCTCATAAGGAACTTGCGAGCTCACTTGAAATGAACAGGAGATATTTAAAAACTGGCTGTCATTCTCAGGATTCTCTAAAGATGTGAATTTCACCTTTGTTTCAGGAATATTCTCTTTAATCTAATTTAAACAGAAATGTTTGATTAAAATCAAGACAAGAAATAACTTAAGCCCTTCTTGTGATAATGTGATTTGATCATCCAATAATTTATTCTCCACTGATTTCAGAATCCCTCCGAACACCGAGTATGGTCTTATTTAATATCTTTAGTAATTACTTCTTCCTAGGTAAGTACTCAGTAATGTAATCAGATGCTGATCCTTTAATATTATTTCCCAGATAAACTGTAAATATATAATCTCTCACTTTTTCTTTTTTTTTTTTTTTAAGATTATTTATTTATTTGACAGAGAGAGACACAGGGAGAGAGGGAACACAAGCAGGGGGAGTGGGAGAGGGAGAAGCAGGCTTCCCGCAGAGCAGGGAGCCCGATGCGGGGCTCGATCCCAGGACCCTGGGATCATGACCTAAGTCGAAGGCAGACGCTTAACGACTGAGCCACCCAGGTGCCCCCTCTCTCACTTTTTCTAATCAATGTTTAAACTAGCCAATATTGTATGGTGTTCGATTCTAAAGCCTACATCACTCCTACAGATACATACCTTTTAAACAACTGTACCAAAAATAGGCTATCTTACAAGGGAATCATTAGACAGTACATTCACTCTCACTACAAAGCAGTATAAATTAGTTGAGTATATACCATGTTTATTCTGATAGCAAACCCAGATAATTTTATCCAAAAAGAAAAACTCCTGAATCATATCATTTAACATTTATCAAGTTTAAATTCCCCCTTCCCAACACCTGCCCATCAACTTTTTAACCATTATCAAACTTAGGTTTATAAAAATGTAAGGGACACTATCAACAAAATTCATAATCTGAAGGATAAAGTTACTGGCTATACTTATCTGTTTAAAATCATTGGGATTAACAGGCATATACAACTGTACATAAATGCACAGATGAAAATGTTGTTTGCATTTCTATTTCCCATAATTATTTTACATGCTGAAAGAAAATGTTTGTGTTATCACAAAGGGGTTAGAAATATTCAATGAGTTATCTGACCTAATCTCACATTTGTTCTATATCTTCACACATAACCTCCACAGAATTTCTGATTACCATAAGTCCAATTTCAAAACAATTGGCAGTGTCTGAGAAAAGGCAGAGTGTTTCCCAATAATGTGGAAATACCCAACATAATGCTGAAAAGTCGAGAGCTTTTAGATGAGAGTGCCTAATTCTGGTCTTGGGCACACTTGGACAGGAGCAACTCACCTATGCTCTCTAGACCACAGTTTCAATCCTCTGTAAATTGGATCAGCTGAGCTGGCTGGGTTCCCAAGGACCTTTGAGTTGTAGGACTAAGTGATTCCTCTCCAGTCTGAGAAGTAACCAGAACCGTAACAGAGTGTTCGCTAAGTCCCATCAACATGGGGAACTCCACTTCCTGATATTCAATATCCTACCCCCCATTTCAGAAACAAAAAGTGACAATGTTTTAAGCACTTAAATTGTTTAAAGACAGAGTTTTTTTTAACAATATGAGTTGTTATGAAGAAGAAAGGGGTGAAAGTTATATCTAACTCAAATACAGGAAAATTTAGGAGAGAACTTAAATGGTGTAGATATATATCCAATTGTTTTAAACTGTGAAATTCATTTAAATTACTTGGATGAGAAGAGAAATAAAGGAACTTAGTGAGAAGACCAAGAATTTGATCCAAAAGTGACTGATAACGACCATCATTTTTTTTGTTTTTACATTAACATACACACATAAAAAATAAAAATATAGGGGCGCCTGGGTGGCTCAGTTGTTAAGCGTCTGCCTTCGGCTCAGGTCACGATCCCAGGGTCCTGGGATCAGGATCCTGGGATTGAGCCCCGCATCGGGCTCCCTGCTCTGCGGAAGCCTGCTTTTCCCTCTCCCACTCCCCTTGCTTGTGTTACTTCTCTCGCTTTGTCTCTCTCTATCAAATAAATAAATAAAATATTTAAAATAAATAAATAAATAAATAAGTATACATAAATTTAAAAACTGTATTATCAGAAATGTACAGCCAGATGAAATTTTACTAAGTGATCACACACATGTGACCAGAATCCTGATCAATAAACAGAACATGACCAACATCCCAGATGCCTCCTTGAGCTCCCTTCCAGTTTCTATCTGCCTCCAAGGGTAACCAGGATGCTAACTTCTAACACCCTACTTTTGTGCTTTATTTAAATGCGAGCATATGGTGTGCCCTCTTTTATCTTTTTTGGCTCAACATTGTATCTATGAAATTCATCCATGTGGCTGCATATAGTTGTAGTCTGTTCATTCTCATTGCTGTGTAGTATTCCATTGTGTGAATACACCCCAAATTAATAATTCATTCTACAACGGAGGGACAGTTGAGTTGTTGGGGCTATTACAAACAGTGGTGCCATCGATGACCACAATGTTTTAAAAGTGAATTTTGTATAACCATATTGATTTTTCTGAAAAATGGTGTCAGTTAAAAATGTGATATATAAAATAATTAAGGAAGTACCTGGGAGTTTATGGTGGCCTCTTGTAACTCAGCTTCAAGCCTTTGGATCTCCTCCTTTAACTGAATATTTTCCTTTGCAATTTCATCAATTAATCTCTAAAAAAAATCAAACAACACCAAAAAATTCCCCCAGCCTCTGACCTCATTTTTCTAAACAAATTGAAGAAGCTAAATTTCTATCACCCTGATAAAGACAAAGAAAGATATCATCACCTGTTGATTGTCCTACCTCTGATACGTTTTATTATCTCCTTTATACAAGCAGGGAAACTACCTTTCACACTAAAGCAGAGTCACAGAAATTTTTGTAGTAGAGCAAGGACTGAGAGCCAGACCTCAATCTTATCAACTCCTTCCCTGGTTATTTGTGACAACAATATGACTTTTACGTTGCACTGTAGGGGAGCCTGGGTGGCAGTCGCTGGAGCATCTGACTCTTGGTTTCAGCTCAGGTCATGGTCTCAAGGTCATGAGATTGAGCTCTGTGTCGGACTCTGCGCTCAGTGTGGAGTCAGCTTGGGACTCTCTCTCTTTCTCTCTCTCCCTCTGCCCCTACCACCCCCATCCAGCTCATGCTTGCGTGTGCTCTCTCTCTCTCTAAAATAAATAAATATATCTTTAAAAAATAAATAAATAAATTGCACGTAATTGTGGAATATGTTACTTGGGGGCAATCAAAAAATGTTTTTGCTGTGATTCCCACAGTACAGCTGCTTTGACATGCCAGGCATATGGCCCTGGGTAAGTGGCTTAAGCTACCTGAGCCTCCATCCCCTCTTGGGTCTGATCAGATAATTGCTAACTAAGTTTTTAATTTCTGGGTGTAAATCAAAGAAAGGATGGAGGGAAGGAAAAAACAGCTAATGTTGAAGCCTTGTAAAAGAAAGAATAGAAATATGATTCTTTTTGTAAGGCTTGAATAATGGAAGAAAAAATTTTTGAAAACCTTAAAATCTTCCCAAATTCAAAGTAATGTTGGGCAAAAACATATAAAACATGCCTCACTGTAAAACTAATAGATATAAATTAATTTTTAATAGGACCCAGTAATTTTTACCTCTCTTTGTTCATCTTTCATAAATCCTTCATCTGACCAAGGCTCCTTAAGAACTTTTTTGTTATCTTCATCAGCTGCCATGATTACCTAATTATTACAAAAAATAAGTATTTTTAAAAATAGTACATATACACAAATTCAAGAAAAAAGAAAAAACTTTTACCCTTTTACAGAAAAAGAAACATCTCTTCTTTGCTGTATCTTTTTTCCTATCATCAAAGTCTTTATTATCATGTGGCTTATATTTGAACAGAGTCTGTATTTCAAATAACTTTCACACCTACAAATATATAAAAGGGTTCTAAAGATCGTTTGCTTTTCAACACAGTAATAGAAAATGATAGGTATTAACATTCCTTTGAGGTTCACATCTTAATCATATTATGGTGCCCCATTTTAAAAGATTACTATTTTGGACTTTTCAAAGGTTTTGATTTAAACATCCAATTCTCCCTATTTATTTCCCAAATGTAAATGGAGTAAAAAGTCCTCCCCAAACTCCTCTACACGTAGAGTAGTTCTTTTTAAATTTTTTTAAGTAGGCTCCACACCCAGCATGGAGCCCAATGCGGGGCTCAAACCCACGAACCTGAGCTCAAGACCCAGGCCGAAATCAAGTCAGATGCTTAACCAACTGAGCCACCCAGGAGTCCCTACATGTACCCAGTTCTTATCTAGAGTTTTCACAAATCCTCCCTAGTCCATACACCTGAATAGGAAAAAAATTACACCTTTACTTCTAATAATCTCTGATTGAAACTTAGCATTCTCTTCAAATATAAATATAGGCAACAAGGCACATAACGTTTGCAAAAGTTCCCAATATGGCACAAATATTTTCATAAAATGTTTTAACTATTGCAGATATCCTGAAATTTTTTTTGTGTAAAACCTTCCTTCAAAATTATGGTAGTTACTGGGGTGCCTGGGTGGCTCAGTTGTTAAGCGTCTGCCTTTAGCTCAGGTCATGATCCCAGGGTCCTGGGATCGAGCCCCATGTTGTCAGGCTCTCTGCTCAGCAGGAAGCCTGCTTCTCCCTCTCCCATTCACCCTGCTTGTGTTCCCTCTCTCGCAGTGTCTCTCTCTGTCAAATAAATAAATAAAATCTTTAAAAAAAATTATGGGGGCGCCTGGGTGGCTCAGATGGTTAAGCGTCTGCCTTCGGCTCAGGTCATGATCCCAGGGTCCTGGGATCGAGTCCCGCATCGGGCTCCCTGCTCCGTGGGAAGCCTGCTTCTCCCTCTGCCTCTCTCTCTCTCTCTCTGTCTCTCATGAATAAATAAATAAATAAAATCTTTAAAAAAAATAAAAAAATAAAAAAAAATTATGGTAGTTATTAAACTCACTACTAGGTCTTATACTGTAACATATTGATATATATTACTGTATCAAAAATTTGCTTTTTTAATATTTTGATAATCATATTTCAATATAATTGGTTTCCTTTGTAATTCTACATATTTTATTTTATACATTTAAAAACTTTTCTTTTAAAGGCCCATGAGCTTTATCAGACTGGGAAGGAATCCATGGCACAAAAACAGTAAAGGACATTTGCCTGCATATGAATTTACTGAGATGGAGAGGTCCCAGATCAAAAATGAGACAAGGAATATCATAACTGTTTTTATTGCTTTAGAAGCACATTAATAACCAGTTTGTGATATAATCCTCTAAAATTTCAAGTAGCTAAATTCTCACTATTCCTGTAGAAGAAACAGGAAAAAAATTTATTTCTCCTTAAAAAAAACAGAAGACTGGCAAAAAATTAGTGTGAACACAAGCAGTGTCCAGAAACAGAGGGGATCATATAGCATCTAGATCTTGGTTTCTAATCTATCGTCCAATAAAAGGAACCAGGATTCCCTGGAGCAATGGCTGATTCTACCCATGGGCCAGGAAATATACAAGATAAGCCTGGAGAGCTTCCAGTGGCCAAAGGTACATGAAGGGGATTTTCAAGTAAGTAAATATACAGAGGATAAAAGAAACCAGGTTGTTCATTGCCAGGTAAGTTAATTATAAATATAGAAAGACAGAAAACTAGAATGAATGCTGTGGGTTGGAACTGGAACTATCAGTATAATCTCATGATTTCCAATAGAATGAGAGAAAGATAGAGATATAAATATAGATGTGTGTGTGTGCTCACATATATACATACCTATATCTATCTGTATATATATTCCCTAGCTCTGTCTTCTCAGAGGGCCTAGAAGCAATGAGCACATCTAGCACCCAGAATTTGGTTTCTAATACCGTTTTCCCTTACAAGGAACCAAGGCTTTTCAGAGAAATGGTTGATTCCAGGACTGGGACAAGAAAAATACAAAATAAGCACCTTATAGTGCCAGAAAGCAAGAAAATGCTCAGTAAATGATGAGAGCATGTTAAACAAAACAAAACAAAACAAAACAAAACACAGAATCCAGCCTGAGGAGGTTCTCACTAGCCAAGTCTAAGAATAAATTAAGCATAAAAAAAATGATGGTAATGATTAAATCCACTGAGGAAAATAAAAAACTATGAGTCCATACTGACATACATACATACATACACAAATTGAAATTTTGGTGAGAAAAGGACCATGTAGTTAGTTTCAAAATACTTCCCCACAAAATACTTACTAATTTCAAAGGGGGAAAAGTAGCTTTACATTGAAGAAGCCAGGCAGACGCCACCATAATAAAATAATCAAAGTAAATAATGAGATAAGTCAAAATCATCTGCCATCTGATAGAGTGCACTTAGAACACAGCACGACTTCTATGATATTCCTGCCAAAGATACATAATCTGAATCTCAGCATGAGGAAACATTAGACAAACTGGCCTGTACTCTTCAAAAGTGTTAAGTTCATGAAAGCCAAGGAAAGGCTGAGAAACTCTTCCAGACAGGAGACTAAAGGGACATCACAATTAAATGCAATGCATGACTCTGAATTGGGTCATTTTGCTATATAGGATATCATTGGCACAACTGTCAAAATGTGAACTGGATCCAAGGATTAGATGGCAGTAATGTAGCAATATAATTTCCTGATTTTGATTACTGAATTTTAGTTATGTAGAGAATACCTTTTTTCTAGGAAATATATATTCAAGAATTCCAGGGTAATGGGTTTTGAAGTTAGAATCTTATTCTCAAATAATTCAGGAAAAACAGAAGCTGTTTTTATTGTACTTGCAACTTTTCTGTAAGTTTGAGATGGTTTCAAAATACATCAGTAGCTCCCTATTGCACCACCTGCAGAGTCCTTACAACGACACCCAATAGTCATCCAAGGTCTTACACAATCTAACCAAAACTTACTTTCTAGTCTTATTTAGACAACTTCTAGACTAAGTACCCTAACCACACTAAACACTCAAAGGGTCCCTCTTCTCCCTCCTGTCCCTTAATATGTCACATCCTTCCTCTCCTCCCAACCTTAATGAAATTCTACAGTTATTCAAGGTCTACCCCAAGTTTCCCCCAAGTTTTTAAAGCTTTTTCTGATTCCCCTACAGGACATTACTTCTCCCTCTTTTAGCTCTTTTGGAGAGCTTTAATTATTTGTGTACCCATGTCATCTTCCATGACTAGATGGTCATGACGTTGAGGCGAAGGACCATGCCCACTCCTCCTTGCATCCATTCAGAGCATAATATAAGCACACACACTGAAAACACCCAATATTTACAGAATTGCATGGTATCTTGACTAGTATTTGTTCTGTTCAGGACATCCCATGCATATGAAGTTTTGTTATTACATTTCCAGAAAGCAGAAATGGCAACATTTTTTTATTGCTTTTAAAAAAAAAAAAATCAATATTCTTGGGCGCCTGGGTGGCTCAGAT